GAGCTATAGTCCAAAAGAGAAGCACTAGGTTTGGGAAGGCTGATTTATGGAACGATGCTCATGTTGGGTGGTGAGATCTTCCACGAAAGCAGTGTTTTTCAACCTTGGCAACTTTAAGATGGGTGGACTTCAACTCCCAGAATTCCCCAGCCTGGGGAATTCTGGGAGGTCTTCCCTTTAGCGCAGCGTTTTTCAACCTTGGCAATTTTAAGATGGGTGGTCTTCAACTCCCAGAATTCCCCAGCCTGGGGAATTCTGGGAGGTCTTCCCTTTAGCGCAGCGTTTTTCAACCTTGGCAATTTTAAGATGGGTGGTCTTCAACTCCCAGAATTCCCCAGGCTGGGGAATTCTGGGAGTTGAAGACCACCCATCTTAAAATTGCCAAGGTTGAAAAACACTGCGCTAAAGGGAAGACCCAGTAGGGCCTCTTGTGGCCAAGAGCAGAATTATCTGTGGGAGCTGAATTTAAACCACGTCCTATGCCCACATCCTTACCTGTTGAATTACAATGGAAATAATACTACAGAAAGCTTGGAAAAACGAGTAAGAAATAGCAAGCGGAAGAAATGGAAGGCATGGGAAGAGATTAAAAAAAAAAAAAAAGGAAAGACAGCCAAATTCGACATTGTAGGAGGAGAGTTGCGTTAGTCTATGGTGGTAAAATCTCAGGAGTCTGGAAACATCTCTTCCCATTAGCAAGTTTTATTAAAAGGCAGAGTCTTTCTGATGAAGTGAGCTCTGGCTCACGAAAGCTTGTGTCTTTTAATAAAGTTGGTTAGTCAGAAAAGATCCTCTCAGACTCCTTCTGATTTACAGCTCAATCTGGTTTACCCCAACACCATTCAAACAGCTCTCGCTATCTCTCTGTCCTTGCAAACCATTTTTACTTTTACTCCATATACCACTTCCCCTGCGGGCTTTTGTTCTTTAAAGTAGGAGCCAGGTTTTGTCCACCAGACTGTGATGTGCAACTTTCCAGAAGCTGAGAATCACATTTAGCTTTTGGGGACCACGCTTGAAAAAGTGGGTAAAAACTCAAGTTTTAAAAGTTGTCCTTAAAATGAATTGGGATCAAATGAATACAGCCCATAGCTCTAAAATAAACTCTCCTTCGTGTCACACCTGATTCCTGGTAGTGTGTCTGCACTGTAAGAAATGCCAACATGGTCTGCTATTGGCTTTTTATAGGTTTTTTTCTTTTCTTTTTCCAATCTATGGTTCTTACAGCTCTGGGATTTCTTGATTGTCTCCCATACAAGTACTAATCTGGTCTGACCCTGCTTAGCTTCCAAATCCATATTGTGCAAGGTCGGCCAAGCACTGCCCCCTTTGAAATATGAATTAGCTTACTCTCCTGGATTTAATTACTTTAAAAACAAATGCTATATCCAACCAAATAAGAAATGGAAAAGGAACTCAGCACCATCAGGTCCCCCTCTCTCAACAGTCGTCCAAGTGGCAGAAGAGCAGCAGGTTGGGGGATGTTGATTTTGGACGTGGAAAAAAGGGCTGTAGGTCCCCACCCACTCCATCTCTTTGGACAAGAATGGAATGATTGTAAATCTCCCTTCTCCAAATACTCCCATGCTGGCTGGGGAATTCTGGGAGTTGAAGTCCACACATCTTAAAGTGCTGGCTGGAGAATTCTGGGAGTTGAAGTCCACACATCTTCAAGTTGCTAAGGTTGAGGATCATTGGGCCAGAAGGATGAGAGGATGGACTCTACCGGCTGGGAATAAGCCACTTTTGGTCTCCTTGGACAAGTCAAGAAATTGTTAGAATTTAGTGGGCCTTCCTTTTTCTCTTCTGATCTGTTCCTGATGATCTGTGGGGGTCCTGCTTCTCCATAGCCATTGGCTTTGTGATGGAGCAAGGAGAGGTCTCTCCTTAAGTCTGGTTGTGAGGAAACAGCAAAATGACATCAAGAGAAACCAACAACTGCACTCCCAGGAGACAGAACACAGCTCTGTAACTCCAAGTTGCTACACAAGTCAAGGTTTAGTAAGGGAGAAAGGCAAATCCCTTTCATTAGTTCCCATCAAGTTTCAGACTAGCTTCACCACCATCCAAAATGAACGTTCTAGAACAGTGTTGTCCAAACTTGGCCACTTTAAGATGAATGGACTTCAACTCGCAGAATTCCCCAGCCAGTCACGGTGGCTGGGGAATTCTGGGAGTTGAAGTCCACTCATCTTAAAGTGGCCAAGGTTGGACAACACTGTTCTAGAAGAATGTGCTCCATCAGATGCCCTCCAGATGTGTGGGGACGGCAATGTCCCAAATTCCCAACTGGCCTCATCTTTGGAGGGTATTAGAGTGAGATGCCCTGCCCACAATTATGTCTGGACCTGGAGGTGCTAGTGGTGTCTGGATTTCTCCTGGCAAAGCCTGTTTCCATCACAAATGGCCAGGTCAAGCATGTCAAAAGTAGAGTCTGCGTATACACAACATGCTAAACTCTGGTTTGTTGTTGTTGTTGTTGTTTAGTCGTTAAGTCGTGTCCGACTCTTCGTGACCCCATG